TCTTCTTCTTCTTCTTCTCTTACCATGGAACCGCAAATGGCATAATCGTCCAGCGTCCAGACGTGCATTCGCAACTTTGCCCACACGCGTACGAGCCAGGCCAGAAATGCCCATCCAAAGAAGATGCCCATGCAAGTGGCTAGCCAGGGCCCCTGAACCTCCATCATTGTTGCCCTTGGTCCCAGTATGTCTAGCAAGACAACTGGGGAAAAGGGCCTTTGCCAAATCAAAATAGGAAAACGAAGAAAGGAAACAAGTACTTGTGAATAAAATTGTGAATAAGAGCAAGACAAAAATAGAGAGAAAAAGTCGAAAAAGACAAGACCAAAACAGGTTGAAGCCAGCATTAGGTTGTGGTCTGCGGTTTTCTCACCAGTGTAAGAGATGGCATATGGGCGCGCATGAGGACTCTTCTCCTTTCACTTGTGCTCTTGTTTGCTCAATTGCTGTTCAGATGCCATTTCAACTGCCTCTGCTAACTAACGATTTAGTTTAGGCCGACGGCCCCGGCGGCGCTTCTTTGTTATTAGTTAGTCGTGCATCATGGCAGCGGGTCTGTGGATTTGCTGCATCTATTGCTCCCCCCGGGGTCTTGCTTCATGCCGGGCCCGAACAAGCCAGGGGGAAATTCTCGGGACTAACATTGAGCATGAAGATTGTATTTCATGCTACACCCTAGCGAGATGTAATATGTGGCGTGGTTGAACGAACCCAACAACAAGGCTGGCAGCGAGTTGTCGCAGAACCCCAGATTGAGACACGACTGGAGCAAGCCACCAAACGCCAACAAGAAACAGGGCCACAGGGCGTGCAGGATCAATCAGGGCTGCGGGGGTTAGGTGGCGCTTTAGTCGCCCAAGTGCTCGTGTGTCTTGTTATAAGTCTCGCTTTGTTGGTCCGTTTCATTACTTGTAATTGTAAGTGACAGGGATGATATGACTGTGCTGCCTCTGACTGGACAGTTATGCTTGCCCTCTTGCTTCATTTTATCAGAAGCCGAGAGCACAGCTGCAACATCAAACGTCCAACAACGGAATTAATCCATTACTCTGTTCCAGAAAAAGCCGAACTCTTCCGGATCACGTTGTACAGGGAAAATGGAGCCACTGGACGCTATGCAAATAAGTCGAAAATACTATTGAATTAGATGCTCAAGAGAAATGCTCTTTACGGCCCTCCACAAGGGCAACCGGACCCAAATATCTCTTGCGACCAATGATAAAGTAATAAATCAGAGCGCCAATAATGATGAGTGAGAAGATGGGAGACGCCCAGTTAAAGTCCGAAGCATTCGGGTGGTTGGTCTGGGGCCAAAAGGACCAAAAGAAGCTCCATAGGCTAAAGAGGACGGCGGCGCAGTTTACAGGGACACCCCATCGGCCAAGCGAGAAACTAGCAGCGGGAATGGTGTCTGGCCGAAAGATGCGCCTCCATAAAAGGCATCCGATGCTTGTAAAGTAGCACTGCAGCATCGCTACAGCGCCAAGCGAGGTGATGGCGTAAAAAGCCAGGGGGCTACCAATGTAAATGAGAGACAGGGCCGAGCTAAAGATGCCGCAGAAAATGTAGGCGTTTGTGGGAATCCTGCGCTTCTTGTCGACCTTGGACAGCCAGTTTGAAAATGGCATGCCATTGTCGCGCGCAAAAGCAAACAAGTCACGGCTGACAGCGGCGAGGTACGAGACATTGCCGAGTGTCAGGAGGAGACTGATGACGGCCAGCAAGGCAGTAGCCCAGGGCCGCGACATGGATTTCAAGAGGACGTGGACCACGGGGTATGTCGACGGGTCGTCGAGAGCCTCCCTGACATTGGGCATGTGGTAGCCAAGAGTGACGGTGACGAGCAGAGTTGCGGAAAAGTTGTAGACTAGAACAGAGAGCATAATCTTGGGAACGGCGTCGGATGCTTCGCGGACTTCCTCGGACATGTGCGTAGCCTAAAATAAAATGAAGAATTAGTTATCCGTCGTGCCCGCCTCATGACAAGTTGTTTGTATAGCAACACACGGCAAAACGTACAGTGTCGATACTCTGAAACGCCGCAATGGCAGGGAGCTGTCCAATCATGACCGAAAGGCCAAGCTTTCCCCAGCCGCCTTTATCTTCCCAGTGGCCCCAGACGTCTTTCGACTCGGCCATTGGTGCGTTGACCCAGATGGGCACAAGGAAAGCGACAAACGCAAGAAGTGAAATGGCAAAGATGGCATTTTGGGTATGCGGTATGATGCTCGAGCCAAAAATGTTTGCAGACACGGTCGTGCAGGCAATAGCAATGACTAGGAGAGTGCCGTGCCAATACTCGCCCACGTAGTCGGGCTTGTTCAGAGTAATGATGCCCTGAATGAGAGTCCCGACCACAAACAGACCCAGCGCGTTGCCAGCCTGCCAGGCTATAGTAGAAGTCCACCTTGCAGGCAACATATATCGTCAGTGTTGGAGAGAGAGAGAAAACTTCAATGTGTGGGGGAGCGCAGATTGAACATGAGAAAATAATAATAAAAAATAAAAACGTACGTACCCAGTGAGGTAGCTAAGAATCTGCTGGCAGCTCTCCGGCGCAAACTCCGAGACCCAGTGATACTGAGCCCCGGCAATGGGAGCCATGCTCGACATCTCGGCCATGCTGAGAATAATGGGAGCGTAGCCAAAAAAGCACCAGACGTTGGACCAAATCATGCTGGGTATGCCGCCGTCGACCAAGGCGGGAGTGACTTCGAACGCGTTGAGGCACCAGGCCGACGTGGCCGTGGCGACAAAGGAAATCATGGAAAACAGACGGTACTGGCGAACAAGCTGCTGCTTGTGGCCCATACGCTGCATATTGCGCCGATCAGCTGCCGTGCTGCCGTAGACAGAGTCGACGGCGTCGTCTTGGGCTTCCTCGTGGCCAGAGCCGGAGCGAGAAGCGGCCAGATGGATGACGCCGTCACCTTTGCTGCCATGGTACCCTGTCGCAGCGGTATTCATTTTGGAGCGCCTTGGATTCGCGTCGGCGTCTGAACGTTGTTGTAGAAAGATCCGAGCCGGGTGATGCTGAGACTCGCGGAGGGGAGGGGGGGGGAGAAGGTTTTGAATGCTGGCAATGCGACCGACTTTGCCAGTATTTTTCCCCCGCAACGGGAGGGGAGTCTTTTTGTCTGAGTTGGGGCAGAGATCTTTTGGATCTTTTGTATCGGAAAGTGCATGGTTCGGAAGCATATAACTAGTCTTATGCATGTCTTCAATGTGCAAAGTTGCATGGACCCTGGTCGTGATGCTAACCCTCGTTCATGATTGGGGGCAATTTTGTTGGCTGTATTTACATACCAGTACTCCATAGGGGATCTCTGATGAAACACTGATTCTTTTCTGCTTCTGTATGTTTGTTTTAGGCAGCACACCCCTTGATGGACAGGCCACCAGTTGGTTGGTACCAACCGAGGGTGCTCTGATATTCCCAGAGTGGCCCGGGTCCCGGAAGATGCAGGGAGTCGAGCTTGATATAATATAAGCTCAGGACGGCGCCGGCAAAGCAGCTCATTGCAGCCTGGCCCGCACGGCAACATAGATGCCAGCCTATATCCGTCGCAGATAATACTCCGTACGCTGCAGGTTCTTTGTGCAGATACTTTAGGTAATACTTCAGTAGCCCATCTCAATCAACAGCCAGTCATCAACAGCGGTTCATCAACAGCCAGTCAACCAATAGCCAGTCAATCAACAGCCATTGAACCAATAGTCAGTCAATCAACAGCAGTTAATCATCAATCGCCAGTCAAACCAGCATTCAGAATCTAGCTACCAATTAACCAAGCCATCCCCTTTACCTACCGGCTATTCAATTCCACCTATGCCAGCAGCAAACTTGTCACTGTCAAGTGTCGCTGCTCCTGTTGCCATCTCTTCTGCCTATGACTGGCGTTTTGTAGTCACTGTCCCGTTCCAGTTGGGTGGTTGGTTCAGGTGTTGGGCTGAGATGCTTATTGTGGACTAATGTACACGGTACAAGCCCCTGGATACCTACCTAGCCCGATTAGTCTTAGCGCGGTAAAGGTATCTTGGTTGCTTAGAAGTCTGATA